TGACTTCCAACGACAACAAAATTGTGTTGAGATCCATATTTTCAACAAAATTAAATGTGAAAGACCATACAACGACGAGCAGAAGGACAAACAATGGCTTGAGTTACTTTATGATAGGCCCTGTAATACTTTCTTCTAGGTCTCATAACCGCTGCATTTCTCCAGCTGCTCTGCTTCGCAAAAAAATTTATTTCATTCAATATGCGTTGGTGTGAGGACCCGGGCCCCCTGGAACTGCTGTTAGAGACAGTCGTGAGCTCCTGCTGCACCCGGGTGTTCGGGAAGAGCAGCCAGTCCTCTCAACCACTGAGATGTCTCTCCAGCAGGCTGCTCGGCTTTTAATCAACTACATGACGTGATTCCTCACCTAAAAATAGGTCCTGTGTGTAAAACCCCACTCGACGCCATCTTCCCCCAGATGATGTCTGCCAGTGTTTTTCTAGGGACACCTTAATTTTCTCCAAGTCGGCCGCGGCTACCACCCTCGACCCTCCAGGGCCGCCACTCCTGGGATTCCAGCGCACTTCTCCCTGGACCTCACTGGGGCCCACGTCTCCTCTGCTCCTTCATCTGAACTGAATCCCTCGCCCCTGCATGGTATGGCCCGCTCTCTGTCCAAAATTCTTGGGACGCCTTCCTCTGTCAGGTCCACAAAGTGTCTCAAGGTCGGCTTTTCACTTCCTTGTGCGTGGAGGGGCGTGGGGGGGCAGTCTTTAATTTGCTGCTTTTTTTGGTGGGCTGAGCTTTTATTTTTTTGGTTTTTCGAGACAGGGTTTCTCTGTATTGTTTTGGACCCTGTCCTGGAACTCGTTCTGTAGACCAGGCTGGTCTCAAACTCACAGAGATCCTCCTGCCTCTGCCTCCCGAGTGCTGGGATTAAAGGCTTGCGCCACCAACGACCGGCAAACTTTTTTTGTTTTTTATTTTTATTTATTTATTTGGTTTTTCGAGACAGGGTTTCTCTGTATTGTTTTGGAGGCTGTCCTGGAACTCACTCTGTAGACCAGGCTGGCCTCGAACTCACAGAGATCCGCCTGCCTCTGCCTCCAGAGTGCTGGGATTATAGGTGTGAGCCACCAACGCCCAGCGAACTTTTTTTGTTTTTAAAGCTTGGTTTTATTTATTTCTTTAGAAGCAATCTCATTATGTAGTTCTGGTGGGACTCAACTGTGGTGTCTTCCTGCCTTTGGAACTATTTAATTCGATAATTTTCACCTTTCCACTTTTCTCTAGTCTAACACACACACACACACACACACACACACACACACACACACACACACACACACACACACACGTGACAACTTGGAGTTGAGTCTAACCTTCTACCATGTGTGTTCCAGTTCAGGTCATCAGGCGTGGTGGCCAGCAGCCTCTGGCTGTGACATCACCGGCCCCCTGTCAACCTACCCCTCCCTGGAATCTCTTCCTGAGACTCTTTCCACTAGACCCTGAAGCTCCGGGATTGGCCTTCGTTTCTGGAGGCTCACGGTCTTTTGTTCCGCTCAGAGTAAGAATTGAGCAATGACCTTTCAGCCCTTTCACTGCCATCACATTTCTTACCGTATATGCTTGTTTTTGTAGCCGTCTGGTTTATTTGCTAGAGGGCTCGCCCCACCTCCGATCTGTCCCAGTTGAACCTTAACAGATATGAAACCTACGTCGAGGGAAAAGTAGGGAATATTCCCACAAGACTGGGAAGCTTGGCGGGTGTAGCTCAGTGGTACCCCAGCCACCAGGGACGTATTCCCTCCCCAGACACAAGGGACGGACTGCTCTTGCAGAGGACCCAGATTTAATTCCCAGCAGCCACATGGAGGCTCGCAACTGTCCATAACTCCAGTCCCAGGGATCCTGATGGCCTCTTCTGGGACCATCAGGCATGTATGTGATACACATACATACCTGCAGGCAAACACTTACACACATGAATTTAAATGAGCTGAGAGTTCCCACGACTTGGTCCACAGGCAGCAGAAGGACTCTGTGTGTCACACTGGGCGTGGCTGGAGCATATAAAACCTCAAAGCCCGCCCTCACAGTGACACACTTCCTCCAGTAAGGCCACACCCACTTCCTAACAGTGCCACTCCCTATGAGTTAAGCATTGGAACACTTGAATCTGTTCCTATTCAAACCACCACAGCATCTTTGACCTGCTTTGTTTTATTTTTGTTTTTGAGATGGGGTCTAACCTTGTAGTCCAGGTTAAACTTGAACTCAAAATCCTTGTGCCTTAGCCTTCTGAACATTGGAATTATAGCTTTATATATATAGAGAGAGAGATAGATATAGATATAGATATTTTTTTTTAACGGCAGTGACATTTTTTGTTTGTTTTGAAACAGGCTCTCTCTCTGTAACCCTGTCTGTCCTGGAACTCACGATGTAGATCACGCAGGTCTTGAACTCGCCACCCAGCCCACCCTAGTTAGTTTTACCTGTGACTGGTTGTATAGCATTGCTTCTTTGGAATTTTCATTTTGGTGGCCAGGGATGTAGCCCTTCATTGCCCGGGAATCAACTCCAGCCGGCTCCACGAGACTGTGTCTCAAAGAGGAAATCTGGCGTTTACTGAGCATCAGGGACTGCACTCAGAACCTCAGAATCTTTGGTCGGCACCATTTTCTCTCACAGTGAGGACTTCATCCTTCTCTGTGAGGCGGAGTAGGGGTCCCTCCATCCCAGCCCAGTTCACGGTAGTGTGAGGGAAATGAGCGCCCAGCCTCCGAGGCGAGTGTGTTTCTTACGTAGCACTCGGTGCTCTTGGATAGCAGGGCAGTGCCCGGACAGAGGCGGTAATATCCAGGCAGGCAGGGCTACCCAGCAGGGTTTGAGCTTGCTAGCGGCCTCCTCCCTGGAAGAAGTGGGGTAGAGCTGAGCAGGTTGTGTCTCCTTAGACCTACAAGCTCAATCAGGGCTGCCTCCCTAGTGCTGGAGGACACATCTCTGTTATAAAAGACAAGGTGCTGCAAAGTATTGCCCTTTAAGACAGACACATTTGTCTAACGGGGCCACAGTGGTGAGGCAGAATAGCTCAACAGTCAAACTGCTTGCAGTCATTCCCTGTCTAAGAGTTGCATGATGCCTGACCAAATATCATCCAAAGAGTAGCTAACTGTTGCTGCTCCAACACCAAGAGTTGCCAAACAACCTGTGAGCCAATTCTTACCCATTTTCCCCACTTTAAAAAAAAAATAACTTGTCGTGGGAGCTGGAGAGAAGGCTCAGAGGTTAAGAGCACTGGCTGCTTTTCCAGAGGTCCTGAGTTCAATTCCCAGCAACCACATGGTGGCTCACAACCACCTGTAATGAGATCTGGTGCCCTCTTCTGTGGCCTGCAGGCAAAACACTGAATACTTAATAATAAATAAATGAAAGAAAAAAACTTCCTAAAAAAGTAATAATTTAGCCGGGCGTTGGTGGCGCACGCCTTTAATCCCAGCACTCGGGAGGCAGAGGCAGGCGGATCTCTGTGAGTTCGAGGCCAGCCTGGTCTACAAGAGCTAGTTCCAGGACAGCCTCCAAAGCCACAGAGAAACCCTGTCTCGAAAAACCAAAAAAAAAAAAAAAAAAAGTAATAATTTGTTTTGGGGCCAGAGATACAGCTGAGTGGGTAGAGGGGCAGAGGCTTGACATCGAGGGCTGCTGATCATCTAACGTAACCAAAAGATGGCAAGTTCTGGCTTGGAGAGAGACTCTCTGTTACAGGGCGGGAACACAACTCCATTCCTGTGGTTGTGGGAGATGTCAGCAGGAACAGGTCAGCCTTGTAACCGCAGGATGAAGACAGGCAGACTCTCCAGAGACACGGGCTGTAGCAGTTCTTGTAGATCGAATCTCCATCATGCATCGTTGTCTGAGGACACTGAGCTATCTGCTTTTCAGGGCCTGTCTAGGAGGAATGTCCTTCCTTTGGCCGTGTGACTGGCATCAGACCAAGGGATGTGGATCACTTAAAAGCAGAAACTTCCATGTGCCCTTCCCTCCCCGTGTGGATGGGCACGTCTCGGAGGAAAGCCTCTGCTCTGGCGAGCTGCTGGGACAAAGAAAACATGGTGGACACGCGGCCTCTGCGACGGGCGTGCATGGTGGAGCAGAGGGAGGCTGCCATCTGCGGATGGCCTCTTCGCTGCAGCAGAACGTGGTGAAAACTGGTAAATAGCACAGATTTTTGGCAATTTAGCCGTGTCGCTGCTCAGAGTGCCGTATCTGTTCATCCCCATAGCTAAACAGTGTGGGGGCAGAGAGTTTAACTTGCCAGTCAGTCACCAGGTGGGAAGAACTGGAGGCGACCACGCCTCTCAGCTCACTAATATCTCCTAAAGCAAAGCGCAGGAGCATCACATTGGAAATACCCTTCTCTTCAGCGTGCACGTGAACGCAGGCGGTGGCCAGGAGGGGCGTCCAGAGCTGGGGCCGCAGGCAGTTTGACCTCCTCAATATGGGTGCTGGGAACAGAACTCAAGGACGGTGCAAGAACTCTACGAATCCCTAGCAGCCGAGCCGTCTGTCCAGCCCTGCGTTAGTAATATTCTCAACTCTTTCCTCGGGTCATTGAGACAAAGGACAGTGAAAACGTCACTTGAGGAGTTCACTAGTTTCTGCACTTAGCAGTAGACGTAGGTGAGCTGTTTGGCCAGTTGCTACTCCTTGGGGGCAAGAAGGAGACATTTAAACCTATAGACATAATCCACCGAGATATGGGGCTTTTTGTTTGTTTTTTTTTTTTGAGACAGGGATTCTCTGTATTGTTTTAGAGGCTGTCCTGGAACTCGCTCTGTAGACCAGGCTGGCCTCGAACTCACAGAGATCCGCCTGCCTCTGCCTCCCGAGTGCTTGGATTAAAGGCGTGCGCTTTTAGATGAATGGATCATCTGCTATAGCAAGTAAGACAAAGTAACAAAATGTCTCTACAACACACTCCCGAAGTGCACAGTGTAGACAGAATACAGACGCTGGATGTCCATGTAGTGGCACCTAGCCTAGCCAGTGTAAAAGCCCAGCTAGCTCAGTGGGTAGAGCGTGAGACTGTTAATCTCAGGGTCGTAGGCTCGGGCCTCACGTTGGGCACCACTTTGTAGTTTTCTTGTCCTGCCAGGGTCCCCCTGCCATTTCAGCCCCACATAAACACACGGACGCTATACTAATTATAAAATTGTTGGCCGATGGATACGGCTTCGAATTGGCTAGCTCTGTCTTAACTTATTAACCCGTTTCTATAAATCTATGTATTTCCACGTGGTCTTGGCTTACCGGAGAATGCCTGGACCTGCTACTCCTTTGGGGTCTACCCCTCTGTCTACCATTCCCAGAATTCTCCTAGTCTTCTAGCCCCGCCTATCTTCCTGTCTCCATTGGCCAGACAGTGTTTCATTCGTCAACCAATAAGAGAAACAGACAGAAGGACGTCCCCCATCACGTCCAAGGGCACAGACTTTACTGTGCTCAAACAGCATGGAAAAACGGGTCAAGTCTACCTGGCTAGAAAATGGAGCAGTAAGGCTGCGACGCCTTGACACTGCGTTGGTGTAGCCAGGATGGAGCTCTCCTGAGTCCTGAAAATGTTCCCAGTGCAGATGTGACTGTGGGGAATGGATCTTTGCAGACGTGCAGATCTGTCAAGCCGTCCAGTTGAGATTTTTCACTGCCTTTCCGTCTTCAGTTTGAAGGTGATTCACCGTGGGGCTGAGGGGTGGCCCCTCACACAGAGGGCTGCGTCCAGTTCCCGACACCCACGTCGGGAAGCTACAGATGTGTGAACCTCAGATCCAGGGGATCTGCACCCTCTTCCAGCCTCTGTGTGTGACATAACCACACAGCACACATTAGCTAAAATAAATTTAATTAAGTTCATCCGTGCCAGGCGTGCAGAGTGAGTTTGTATTGGCCCTAGCCTTCTTGTGTTGAAATCCTAACCTGGTAGTTCAGGAGAGGGGTGGGGGGAGGCCCTGTGGCTAGGGTTAGTGTGCCCTCACAGACATGAGAGTATGTCTCTGGTCTCCTCGTGGAGATACGGGGAGGGAAGGGCCTAGAGGGAGGAGAGCCTTCATCATACCCAGATTTACTATGACTGTGGTTGTGGCCTTTTGAGTTCAGAGAAATGTAAAAAGCAAACGTCTGATTTTTAGTCCCCTAGTCCGTGGCATTTTTATTGTAGCAGCAAGAAGGAAAACAACCTGTTTCCAGATTTAGTAACAAATGCTTGCCAGGGTTGGCGCGGGGCGCTTTGCAATCGTTGATTGAGAAATCCATTGCTCCGTTACCAGAGCATTTAAAACAAGCACTGAGATCCAGCAACAAATTGACACCCAATAGAAGAGCCCACCGGTCAATAGCGCTGACTCCCTAGGACGTGGGAAACTCAGATTATTAATTAATTGTAAAGTTCTTTGCTCCTCCCCAAAGGAGTGTCGCGGTAGAACTGGTAAACTCTGGTAAGAGACCATGTTAGATTCCTTCACACTCACGTTGGCACTGTGACCCGTTTGATGGCAGAGGGTATATATATATATATATATATATATATATATATATATATATAATTTATTTATTTATTTATTTTTTGGTTTTTCGAGACAGGGTTTCTCTGTATTGTTTTGGAGACTGTCCTGGAACTAGCTCTGTAGACCAGGCTGGCCTCGAACTCACAGAGATCCGCCTGCCTCTGCCTCCCGAGTGCTGGGATTAAAGGCGTGCGCGCCACCAACGCCCGGCTCCAGAGGGTATATTTAGATTGTGTGTGACCACAGCTGTTTAACTGGTTAATCAGCCCTGTTTGGGGGTCTTGTCAGGAATGAGATGTGGCGCAGCCTCATGTAAAGACTAGAGTGAGAGTGTGTTACAACTCTACAGAGAGAGAGAGACAGAGACAGAGACAGAGACAGAGAGACAGAGAGAGAGACACACACACAGAGAGAGAAAGAGACAGAGAGACAGAGAGAGACAGAGACAGAGAGACAGAGATGGAGACAGAGAGAGATAGAGAAAGAGACAGAGAGAGATAGAGAAAGAGACAGAAGAGAGACAGAGAGAGATAGAGAAAGAGACAGAGGGACAGAGAGAGATAGAGACAGAGAAATAGAGACAGAGAGATAGAGAAAAAGACAGAGAGATAGAGACAGAGATAGAGAAAGAGACAGAGAGAGAGACAGGGAGACAGAGAGAGACAGAGACAGAGAAACAGAGACAGAGAGATAGAGACAGAGAGAGATAGAGAAAGAGACAGAGAGAGAGACAAAGAGAGAGAGAGACAGAGAGAGAGAGAGAGAGAGAGAGAGAGAGAGACAAAGAGAGAGAGAGACAGAGAGAGAGAGAGAGAGAGCTCCTTTAAAGGAATACCTTCCCCGTGACCTAGTTTCCTTCCACAAGACTCTAGGTCCTAAAGGTGTCGTACCACAGACTGGATGGCAATCCTGTAACACCTGGGCCTTTGAAGAACTCTGCAGATCAAACCACATCAAGGACCCTGTAGACATTGTCAAATTCTTCTTTCTTTAAAGATTTATTATCTTTGTTTTTGTGTGGGATTCTGTCCGTGTATGTGTGTCCATGGAGGCAAAAGAGTGTGTTGTTGGATCCCTTAGAGCTGGGGTGTCAGTCATTTTCAGCCTCCTAATGTGGGTGCTGGCCGTGGAACTTGGGTCCTTGGCAAGAGCAATACAGGTTCTTAACTGCCCAGCACTGGCATGTCCACGTTTTACATATTCTATTTTGTTGACTTTCTTTTCTTTCTCTTTCTCTCTCGCTTTCTTTCTTCCTTCCTTTCTTTCCTTATTTCTTCCTTCCTTTCTTTCCTTATTTCTTTCTTTGTGTAAGAGCCCTAGTAGTAGCTCTGTAGACCAGGGTGGCCTCAAGCTCACAGAGTGGCATGCGTCACCGCTTCCTGGCTCAAACTGTATTTTTAAATTCTTAAATATTTTCTTCCAATAATGGTAAGGAGAAAATTTCCTGTCAACATCATTTGCTAGTATTATTTGTTAGTAAGTAGTTGACCCTGGTGTAAAATGCAGCTTTACCTGGGGCGTGTAGATGATCTGTTGTACCCAGACGCTCACTCCCACTGATTCCAAGCATCTCATTCTTAGGTGTGAGTGACTCCTACATCTGTCTTTACCTCTGTCTTCCCGTGGACTGATATCACACTCTTTCTAAAATCCATTCATTTATTCACTCGTGTATTCTGTGTACTTGTGAGCATGTGTGAAAGCCTGTGTGTGTGAGAGAAAACCTGTGTGTGAAAGCCTGTGTGTGTGAAAGCCTGTGTGTGTGTAAAAGCCTGTGTGTGTAAAAGCCTGTATTTGTGTGTGTGTGTGTGTACCCGTGTGCTTGTGGGGGTCAGAAGAGGACATCCAGTGTCCTCTCCCATCACTCCCTGCCTATCTATCCCGAGGCTCATTCCTCTCTCAGCTGGAAGCAGACCCCAGTGACCCTCCCGCTCGCCCGCTTTCCCTCCTCTCAGCTGGGGTCTCAGCATTTGAGGAGATGCATGGCTTCCTTACCTGGGTGCTGGGATCCAGACTTCAGTTCTCATAATTTTGGAGCCAACCCTCTTAATAGATGAGCTATCTCTCCTGCCCCCAATGTCAACATTTTTAATTCCTGTAGCTTTCTAATGCATTTTGATGTTTGGTATACAACCCTTAACAGCTGCCTCCTTCCTAGATTTTCTTGATTTTTATCTTTTGAGACAGGGTTTCTCTGTGTAACTTTGGCTGCCCTTGAACTCACCCTGTACACCAGGCTAGCCTTGAAAACACAGTGATCTGCTTGTCTCTGCCTCCCCAGTGCTGGGATTAAAGGCGTGCACCACCAATGCCTGGCTCACTGTTTCTTTTTTTAAGAACTTTCTATATCCTTTTTTTTCTCTCTCTCTCCCAAGCCTACATATACATACATACATACATACATACATACATACATATATATATATATTTTTTTTTTTTTTTGGTTTTACGAGACAGGGTTTCTCTGTATTGTTTTGGAGGCTGTCGGTCCAGCCCGGCCTCGAACTCACAGAGATCTGCCTGCCTCTGCCTCCCGGGTGCTGGGATTAAAGGCGTGCACCACCGCCCGGCAACCTACATATATTTTTAAACACACTGTAAGCCCTTTAGAGGTCTTTCTTCATCTGAAGCTGTCTTTACTGTGTATCTCTATCTTTTTCTGGCCAGGAGTCTTTTTTTTTTTTTTTGGTTTTTTTCGAGACAGGGTTTCTCTGTGGCTTTGGAGGCTGTCCTGGAACTCACTTTGTAGACCAGGCTGGCCTCGAACTCACAGAGATCTGCCTACCTCTGCCTCCCGAGTGCTGGGATTAAAGGCATGCGCCACCAATGCCCGGCTTGGCCACGAGTCTTTTATCTGCTGAACAGCATGGCTAGGATTGAAGTGGTGGCTGGCCCCGTTCTGTTCCTTGGCTTTTTTTGAGAGTCTAACTTCATTTCTGGCTAGATGCTTACTGCCACAACTCCGTGGAGTTTCTAGGTTCATGCTACCATGAAGAAGCATGCTGCTGGCGGCTCGTAAACACCACTTAATGGTTTGATACCAGGGACTCTTAAAAGAGCTCTGTGTTTTTTGCCGCTAATGCTGAGTCAGGAAGCCTCCCTTAAAGGAGCTGCAAGTCTCTGCTTGTCTCTAGCAAACAGAGCCCACCCGTAAGAGAAAATGCTGCTGTCGAGAAGCCGTGCTTGTTTTTGTTCTTTGTGTAGAATCTCTCTTTTTTTTTTTTTTTTTGGTTTTTCGAGACAGGGTTTCTCTGTGGCTTTGGAAGCTGTCCTGGAACTCGCTCTTGGTGTAGAATTTCTTTTAAAACTTTTGTTAAACCGGGCATTGGTGGCACACACCTTTAATCCCAGCACTCGGGAGGCAGAGGCAGGTGGATCTCTGTGCGTTTGAGGCTAGCCTGGTCTACAGAGCGAGTTCCAGGACAGCCTCCAAAACAACACAGAGAAACCCTGTCTTGAAAAACAAAACAAACAAAAAAACTTTTGTTACTTTTTATGTGGAAATCAGTGCCCCATGTTGGGCGCCATTTGAAGATAGAGGTGTTTGTCCCGCCTGGTCCCACAGTC